CCTACACTCTACTCATTCAATGTAAATTTATAATATCCACAATACCCATATTCCTCTAAACACTGACCATAGCTATCCTTAATCCATGCCTAGGCTTACGCCTATGCCTAAGTTTCATTCCATTTGAAGCATGTGGTTCTTTACCATAACTTTCTATATCTAATGCTATAGGAGTGCATGAAATCTTTACTCTTACTCTTTACTAAGCCGACGTTAAGTCCTAATAACGGGAGTTTTTCGTTTCTGAAAAGTAACTCGCTCGATTAATTTTCTTTCCAATCAGTTATTAATATAATGAAAATGTAACACTGGACAATGGCAGAATTTGTAAATGTAAGAGCATAGGTGTCAGAGATCGGCTATTTGTGCTAAATGTTTCAATCTTCATAAATGATCAGTGTTGGTGTTATTAAAATTTCAATTTTTGACGATAGACATCAGTGACAAGCGTTCGTTCAAAGATGAAGTTAGAATGTTCCAAGGGCATTTATTTTTGCATTTTCCTCTCACATTCTTCAACTAAGATTCCAGGTGTTTCATAACTAGTCAACAGAATTCCGCCTTTAACTGCGCAACTGAGAGGGTGTGTTAAAGAAGAAGTTTGTCCATTGTAAAGTTAGGTCGCATTGAACTCTGAAGAATTACTTGAGACATCGTTTGTGGCAAAACTGTTTAATGATTGAAGTTGAAAATATTAACAGAAACAATATGGAAGGGGAAAATAAAAACTACTCAAATCCTTAAAAAGCTAAAAAAATTTTAAATTTTAGAAGAGAAACTTTTTGCGGATATCCTTGCAGTACATACAGTCAACAGTTACAAAGTGGTATCTTTACTGTGAGTGTGTTACTAGACGATGGTTGAAGCAAAGTTATCAAATATTCTACCGTACTTTTAAACTTCGTCAATATAGGATTATGCCATTTTCAAAATGTAAAGTTAAAGCAATGTTGCGAAAGCAACAGATTTTTACTATGAAAATTTTAGGACTGCTCTGAGAATATAGCAATTTTTCTTGGATTTACATCATTGTACCCACTGTAAAGAAAAGAGTAAAATTTTCCTTTGTTTTGTTGTGGGTTTGTTCGTCACAGTTTTTTCTTCTGTCCACTGTTCTATTTTCTGCCAGTATTTCTTCTTACTGATGACAGTTGAGACAGCTGAATTCTCTGAGTCAGGTACTGTGCCCTAGAGATTAGTTCCTCTTTTTTTCAGTATACCCACAGATTTATTGCCAGTAAACCTGCGAATTAATTTGATGCCTGCCACGCGGGACTTATTGGGCATACGTTTATTCCAAACCTCAAACTTGGGTAATTAAACCGAATAAGTCCCGCGTGGCAGGCATCAAAATAACTCGCAGGTCTACTGGCAACAAATCTGTGGGCATACTGAAGAAAAGAGGAACTAATCTCTGGGACTCAGTACCTGATTCAGAGAATCCAGCTGTCTTAGCCGTCATCGGTAACAAGAAATACTGGCAGAAGATATAACAGTGGACAGAAGAAAAAACTGTGGCAAACGAACCCAAAAAAGGACAAAAGAAATTCTACTCTTTTCTTTACATCCATCATGACTTCTCTACTCATCAAAATATCATTCAAAAATCTGGAATGACAAAAAAAGTCCACTTACGCTGCTGTAACGAATTAAAAAAAATTTTAGCTTGTTTTCGATAATGTCAATAAATGAAATTTTTGACATAGTTTTTAAAAGGATTTTAAAATATAAATATCTGAAAATTATGTGGTCCTTGACAGAGATGTGTTCTTAAAAAGCTGAAAAGTACTGAGAAGTATATAAAATTCAACGTATAACTGTTTATAACAACGGGTGGACAGTTTTTTGAGCAGTACAACGTAGTTCACCTTAACTGTCAATAAACTTTTTACGGACTGTTTTTATTTTTTACTGTAACACTTAGATTGGTTGGTCGATCAACTTAAAAAATGACGTCCAAAATGTTGACTTGATCTGACATGAAGACCAACATATTTTGCTACCCGTCGATCCAACCATCTATCTCTCAGTTTATTTTAAGCGCCATTTCATCGCTTGAGTTTGTTTTCATCCACTTTTTCTTTTTGGCTATTGAACATCGGGCATGGAAAAGCGGTATTATCTTTCGCTTGTAACAAAGATAACAAAGATGTATTCGCATTATAAAAATGATGTAAATTCAATCGTTGTATGCAGTATATGGAAATTATATTAGAGATGAATTAAAAGACGATGCAAATAATTCAAAATAAGCAAAAAACAGGCAGTATATATTAGACTGCGTATTCGTATAAACTGCTACGCAGTTGCATCTGAACTGGTCAGCAACGTACCAATACCACTTAATTCAGAAAGCAAATTCTATGTATAAATCCGACGTTATACAACTGCATGTTAATATCAAATAGTTACTTTGCTATGTAGCTGCAATATTTCAGCAGAGTTTCAAAATAAAAGTACCTGAGTTGGCTTATAGTTGTATTTACTCAGTTAAAAAACAACCAAGTTTTTCTCCTTTACCTTTTACTATATAAAACATTTCTTGTCAAACAAGAGGCTTTTTATTTGCAGAACTAATATAACTATAGTTCCATAAAAAAGAAAAGCTTCCATTATTTGAACAAATATTTGAACTAAAAATCAAGATCGTTAAAGCGAATTTTTTTATTACCAAAAGTGTTTTATACTAAGTTAATATTACTGTTCAAGTGAGGCCATTCTTAGGTAAAATAATTATAGAATGAGCGCTCTATGAAGTTATAAAACTACGCTAACTGTAATTATTCACAATAAAAAAACTTAACAGCTGTACCAATTTACTATCCTTCTGACTACTGCCTAAATCACCAAACAAATAACACAAAAAACCTTAAAAACTTCTTGCTCATGACCGCTGACTAAGCTCATGCAATGTGGCCTAAAGCTTTCAAAATTTTTATAACAGAGTGGACTGGAGACCGACCAAGGGTTTTGGTAAAGTAAAGCAAAAGATCCATCTAGCAAATGTAATTCAAAAACAATATTACATCAAGTTTATGTGAACCTAAAGAGCTGATGAATCCTTACCAGCAACTTAACGTTTATAATGTTCGTGAGAAACTTTAATCAAACTGAATTATTTCTTAGTCTGCCATCTAAATTTTTCCTAATCTACAAAAAAATACGGACTCACTACGGCTTGATGTTATATTCAATGCTACAGCACGTTTCCCTCAATCAAACGCTGCAGCGTATAGTCTAAGCGAATATCTGGATGTAGAACTTCAAATCAAATTAACCAAAACATCTGGCACTTTTTAAGTGCTATATTTCAAAAAAAAAATTTTAGAATCAAATCAGTGAAACTAGAGATCGGATTCAAAAGTGGACATTGCATTCATTTACCAAATCAGCTTAAAAGTTGCCCTAAAAGAGACGGATAAATTTCACTGATTAATCTGACACACACTTCTTTCATTAAAATAATGATCGACACTAAGATAACAGTACTGGTGTGCCATGTAGTGTAGCAAATGTCCTTGCAGAAAACAAAACATGAACCGACAACATCATATCTTTGTAGAAAATTGACGTCAACAATACACAATATCAAATAAACTCTGGCAATCAACTCTTTTGCGATCACTAACTGTGAGGGGAAAAGGCCACCAGAGAAATATAAATACGATTACTGCACTGGACTGCTAGCAAAGAATGAAGGAAATTAAGACTGGCATTGCCCTCTCCATAACATGCAGTACTGTTGCTGCATTAATATGTGTCACGGTAACTCCATCTTTCTATAGCCTCATCAACGGGATTCACGATGAAATTATGGCTGGTGTGGATGTGAGTCCTTGAATTTATCCAAATAGGATGAAAAATTTTTTCAAAAAAACTGTCAGTAAAGTACTCCTGATTACTGACAAAATCTGGCAATGTTTCAGGTGTTTTGCTACGAAATGGAATCAGCGTGGACTGGTGTGATGAACATCCAAATTCTTGTTACACTGCCAAGCAAACCGTTAAGAAATCCCTTTGAAGAACTACTCCGTAAAAAACACGACTTCTACAGTCCTCTCCTTGCACACTGTCAATGTGAACAAATTAAGCCAAGCTGCCCTCCTAATCCACCTGGTTCTCCTGAAGAACCTGGCCTTGACGGATGTAGCTAATCTTAAACTGCTTGTCTTCAAAAATACTTGCACTACTTCACAGTGGTTTCTG